CGGCCCGGCCCCAAACCCTAAACGGTCGGATTCGCGGGGCCGGGCTTCAGAGTTAAGAGCGGCCTTGCCGTTCTCTCGAAGTCTCTATGTTTCGGTCTGCGGATTTCGAGTTGCAGAGTCTTCTTCGGGGCTTCCGAAGTTTCTCGTGTTGCAAGGATGTGTCCTTCCATGGGCAATTTGGACGACCTCACCTTTTGGTGGGCTGTGAGATTAAGACTTAGGCTTCAAGTGCAGCTCGTGGACTATGTGGATCCTTTAACGTTAGCCTGCCGGCAACCTCAACCATGCCCCATCGTTTACGTCGACGAATACAGAGCCCCGGGCACCCTAGGCACACATCAAAGGCTGCACCATTCCATGAGGAAGTCTGCAATCCATGCTGCTGCCCAGCCCCGGAGCCAAAGGCACAAAGCTTGCTACGAGTTCAATGCGGCAGCTTCTTCGCCCGTGGCCACCACGTGTGTGCCATGCCGAGGTTTTAAATGAGACAAATTCTGGGTAGCGCGGTCCTTTTGCCACAGGCAGTGCGTGCGAGAAGGCCGGCAGCATACTTGCTAAAACCCCCAGTCCGTGCCGTTGCCGCCAAGAGCCTAGCAGGCTCGGCAAGCCCTATAGCGGATGTGTGCTGTAGGTTAGGCGCGGAACCGTCTGACACTCTGAAGGAGGTGCAAACGAAGAACGAGCAGCTCCGAGTTGAGCTGCGCAAGTCCCGTTGGCCCGAGTTGAGGCACTTCTCGTCGAATGGGCGGAACTACATCCTGCCATTGCGGGCCGAGAGCAGGGACTCTTCTCTTCTGCCATCGGAAGCCAAGCTGGCCTACTTGGCCGGATTCTTCGACGGGGATGGCTGTGTAGCTTGTCAGGCGGACTTGTCCGGATGTGTTGTGCAGGTGGCTCAGTCCTTCGACCAGGCCGAGGTTCTAATGCTGTTTTTTGAGACATTTGGGGGAAGCATCGCGCTTCAGAAAGGCGGTCTGGGCCTGTGCAAACCATCTCTTCGCTGGCTGGCATGTGGCCAATCTGCACGGAGGGCAGCTCAGCTGTTGGCACCACAAAGCATCACCAAGCGGGAGCAACTCCTGCTGGCGGCCCAGTGGCCCGCTGCAAATTCCGACAGAGCGGAATGCAGGGCCGAGCTGCGTGCGCTAAAGGAGTACGACTCGGCGGTCACTGCCCCGTGTAGCTGGGAGTATTTAGCCGGTTTCTTCGATGCAGAAGGGAATGTTGACCAGCAGCATGGGGCAGCCACTTTGGTTGTGCAGATCGTGCAAAAGCATCCACGAGTCCTGAAGTGCCTTCGCGACTTTTTGGCCCGAAGGTTAGGCAAAGGTGGCACAATTTCAAAGTCGGGAGAATCTGCGCATGTACTTAGGGTTTGCGGCCTGACCTCCTGCAATCACATAATGCAACAACTCTTGGCCGCAGGACTGCTGCGCAAAGCAAAACAAGCGAAGCTGGTTTTAGGCTTGACATCGGAGAGCGCGGCCAAAGTCAGCGCTGAGCTAGGGCACCTGGCTGGGAACCAAAAGTTTGGACAAAGGCTGGACACTGCTGGCCAAGAAAGGGCGAGGAAGATCAAGAATGCACAAGCGCAAGCTGCTCGTCTTAAACGACGAGGGCAGATTGCCGAAGCCATGGCTAAGCTTGAGGAGGTTGAGGTCCTCAAGGAAGATCACCAGCTGCTCAAAGCTTGCCGTGAGAACCAGCAGCTGCTTGAGTACATGCACAGACTGCAGAGCTTGCAAGACAATTCGTTAGACGGGGGGTTTGCCCAGGGTACGTGAACGGATATGGCAAGCCGCAGTCACAAGAACGGAGGTGTGGAGTTTCAGGGGTTTGGGTTTATGGCTAGTAGCAAAAGCGGTTTAGGGTTTCTCAGGCTGTTGGCAATCGCTGGCAATCCAAGGTTCGCGTTTCGGGTACCAGGGCCTTTGGCTCCAGACGTTCTTCATATTTGTGCATCCGCTGATTTGCATGATGCATATAGTTTTTTTACAGTATATACAACACATACATTAGATAGATAGATAGATAGATAGATAGAGACAGATAGAGATAGAGATAGATATAGATAGATATAGATAGATACAGATAGAGCTATATGGATATAGATGTGTGTAGGTGCTGCTTCAGTATTTGCTCATGGCTTTACTTCTTCTTGTGTGTTTTATGCATGTACTTGTTACAGAATGACACTTGTCATTGTTACAGAGCCCGAAATCTACAGCCCTAAACTCCCTAAGTTCAACTCATCCCCTAGACACAAAATCTTGCGGCCCGTAAAGCATAAGCCCGAAAATCCTTTTAACTCTGAGCCCCCTCAACCCCAAAACCTGGAGCCTTAAACCCTGAAGCTTTGGAATTTCATCTTTGCTGTTGTTTGCTGTTTGGTTGATCATGCTCTGGATGCTGGTACCATGCCAAACACCTCTGTTGACATCCCAACTGCTGGCTGCCGGTTTTGGCGGATTGGGCTCAGATGTGGTTAGGGTCTCCCTGTCGTCTTTTGATTTGGGATGTTGAGTCCTGTGTCACGCCGACTTTGCACCATGAACCTCGCCTGGCTTGTCCGAGTTGTGAGAGGGTACACCCTGAAGCCCGAACCCCAATAAGGCATCTGCTTCAAGCCTCACTCAGGTGCGCCTTGTCATCTTAACTTTCACGGTAGGTCTGATTCTAGACTCTAGACCGGCACGACATACATGCCATGCAGCCTTCCGAGACTGCCATGCGAGAGACAACAAGTAGGTCCCAACAGGAACCCTGAAGAGAACCCTTAGAATCCTGTATCAAACCCTAAACCCTAAACCCCTAGAGTCCTATATCAAACCCTAAACCCTCAGAGCCCTATCTCCAGGTCCTCATCGAGCTGGCCTTGAAAGACAGCGATTTGGGATACTGCCAGCCGGAAGACCAAGTTTCCAGCGATCCTCGTGCTTTGTAACGTCTGAACATATTCGGGGCTTATGCCGTTTATGAGGGCGTCGTAGTGTCGTTAGTGTTTCTGCAAAGGTTTGCGGGTTTTGCGGATTTTCTCTTAGGGCCTTGGCTAAGAAGTCCATGATTGAGATTACTGTCGGGTTCTTGCTGCCGATCCTATAATTTTGTGGTTTGGAAGAAGGGTTTTCCTGTCAGTTCCTACTAGGCTGCCTGGGCCGCCCATAAGATGACCAGCAGTCGTCAGCCTAAAAATGAGGCAGGGTCATCAGACAGGTTGACATGTTGCAGATAGGTTTGCTTAAAATGTCTTAAGGGGTCTTCGTACCTCGCTTCGGAACGTCCGCCCGAAGGCTTAGATGAGCTGGAATGCTAAAGCCACGGTGTCAACTCGTCATTAGCCAAAACAAAAATATTCAGCCCGAAGCCCAAGCCAAGGAAAGAAAATCCTAAACCCAGACCTAAGGTCCTCAACCTACATCCCGGAAATCAGCTAGCCCCCAAAGAGTGTAGAGAAGGGGAGACACAGGCAGAGGGAGTGAGAAGGGTACTTAGCCCGAAGAATGCGCTACTCTTTCCTTTCCTGTGGTAAACGGAAAACCCCATGACCACTTCTGAGCCTGAGCGCTCAACCCTGAACCCTCAACTGCTTTGACTCTTCAACACCTGATCCAACCCCCAAGATCCAAAACCCCTCAGATTATGAGGTCCCTGAACTTTATCGCTGCCAACTTTTTGATGGTCCTCGGTGGCCCTGATCCGGTCGGCCCCCTACCGTTGTGCTGTTGCTGTTGTTTTTTGTGACCATCGGAGCAGGGCTTGGACTGGTCATTGAGTCGGAACCTTTCTGCAGACACCAGCGCATGGGGGCCCATGCTTAACGGGTTGACAGGCGTCTTTCAACAGGTGTTCTCAGTGGTTGGGGCATAGGGCATCAGTTCTGGCTTGGGGGTTTCAGAGTTTCGGGTTTGCGCAAGTAGGGTCTGTTGAGCGTAGGGGTCGTGACAAGTAGGAACGCAGACATCGTCATGCTGCTAGTGGCAGTGGGTGTTGCTTGTCGTCGTCGTTGAAATTGTGTCGAACATGACGACGGCGATGATGCGACAAGGACGGTGATGCTCATGGAGAGGATTGTCGTTGGTGGCTGGTGGTGATGGGCGTGGTAACCTGGTCGGCTGCTAAAGGGATGTTATCGCTGTATTAGTATTTGTGCTACGTGTAGCCTTCTCTGACTTTATCATATGTATTGCCATTCGTTTGGATGGTAAAGCGTGTGGTGATGGCCCAGCGGTGCCTCAAACCAAAGCCCTGTCACGCCATGCGGCCCAAAGAAGTTCTGGTGAGAGCTGGACTGACAGGGTTTGGGGTTTGGGGGTTTGGTGTCTTATTGTTGACTCTTGTTCGGGGCTTCATTGCGACGAAGTAGGAAGCAACATTTCGCTGTGTGCTGCTCTGTCTATTGAGTCTATTGTTGACCTTTAGCAGGGCCTTTGGCGTGTTTTGTCTTTTGTTTTTTCTTTTCCTTGCGGTGCTCAAAGCTGAGGCTTACTAGAAGCCCGAATAGCTGTTCATGCCATTCCATTATCGTCCCTAAACAGCTATCGAACAAAATGAGTCAATACCAAAGAAACCCTATTATACTTATTAAGACTCCAGACCATTACGGCCTCTAGGCTATCGGAGCAGCAGCAGGAGAGCTTTAGAAACGGAGCCAGCCGGTGCTGACTCTTGCAGCAAGGCTCTGGCGGCAGTTAGACAGCTCCTCACAAAGCTCCAGTGGCACCCTCGGCTTGGGGTCTACGGTTTGGGACTACACCGACTTTGGCAAGTCTGTTTGGAGCCTGAGTGGGGGTGTCCGACTCTGTTCATGCGCCCAACGCAATAATACAGCACCGCGCCCCTATTTACAAGCCATGGCAGCAACACCAAACCCCAAACCCCGAGGTGCAGAATAAGAAGATGAGACCCTGCAAACGGGTTTGAGGTGCAACAGCTTGAGCTTGGGGCAAGCAGCGTTTTGACTCAGCTCACGCCACAGGTACAGAGTAGGTTGGACTCGTGCCATGGCCATAGCTGTGGTCTGCATTGTGGCTATTGCGCTATGCTGGAGTGTTGGATTAAACACACTGGTGAGCACCATGAAGTCTTGGCTTCAGGACCAGGGCTTCAGCAACGCCGATAGCAGCTCGGTGCACCAGATCTTCACCCTTCTCTCCTTTGCCTTCTGCTTCCTAGGGGGCATGCTGGCAGAATCCTACGTTGGCCGCTACACGACGATCTTGGTCTTTTCGGCGATCTATGCCGTCGGCTGCGGGCTTACCGCAGTTGCAGCGAGCCCGGCACTAGAGAGCATCCCTCTTTTCATGCTGGGAATCCTGGTGCTCACAGCTCCCGGCACCGGTGGTGTGAAGCCGAACATCGGCACCTTCGGCGCCGACCAGTTCGACCCCAGAGGTGAGGAATCCCAAAAAAGGAAGGAGGCCTTCTTCATGTACCTGTATGTCACGATGAGTGTGGGCGCTGTTATAGCCTTTGGCTTTCTGGCCAATGTTGCTACCGCCGGTTTGCCGCCACGCATCCCTAAAGAAGATGGGGTTTTCTTCGCCTACATCATCATGGCCATACTGATGGCTCTTGCCTTGATGCTGTTTGCAGCGGGCACTCCGTTCTACCGCAAGGAAAGTTTTCAGAAGAACACAGAGCCAGTGCTGATGCCGGCCATGCGACGCTTGTTGGGCGGCAGGCGAACGGCATGGGGCAAAGTTGCGTTGCTGGGCTGGGTGCTGCTTCCCGCTCTTATCGTCCTGTCTGTTTTGCAAGTCTTCTACCCATCACGCACACTCACGATTGTGAGTCTGTTGGCTGACCTGATTTGCATCGGTTGTCTCTGTACGGCGCACTACAACAACTCGTGGTTGGGCGAGCCCGACAGTGTCACACGGTGCCTGGACGTTGTGCCCAAGATCATTGTAGGGAATGTCACATTCAATGTGCTTTACAATACCATGTTCAGTCTCTTCTATTCCCAAGCCTGTCAGATGGACACGCGGCTGGCAGGTGCGGGCTGTCCTGCATCAGATTCCGTTTAACTTAACGTACTCAGTTGAATGGTAGCTTGCATGTAGCTTGGCACAATGTTGAGCAGCTCCACCTCTAAAGTCATTGACGTTGAATAGAGGCCTCTACGACCTACAACTGATGATAAGAAACTGTCCCCGTATAATCCTTATACAGTTAATTCATTGGTTATACATGGGTTGGGCCAGTGGGGGGGAGTAGGCTGCGAAGCGGTGGCGTCAGAGCTTGACACTGACGAGCGACAGAGAACACATGCCGCACGACAAGGGGGCTGCTGCTGCTGCTGTGCCTGGCGGTGCTGGTGCCAGTGCTAGGGTACTTTAGGGTCTAAGTGTTTTCAGGGTTCAGGGTGTTGGGGGCGAGCCTGGGACCTGACGTCTCGCAGCTTTCATCGAACAGGTCTTTCTCAGGCCCAACCGGTATTATGATTAATTGCTAAGGTCCCTCAAGGCCCCTACAGAACAGACGCTCGCCGCCAGGTGGCCTGCAGCTCAGTGGAGCCTTTTTCAACCTCGGCGATGCCTTCGCCGTGATCATCTTCACGCCTCTGCTTGAGCGACTTATCGTTCCTTTCGCCGAGAGAAAACTCGGGCGGAAAGTGAGCTCCAACATGAAGGCATCTTAGAGTGGATCAGTACGTAGCCTCCGGCTTAGGCTTAGTCTCAAAGAAGGACGTGGGGGGTTGTAGTGTGTGGTCGTTGAAGTTTACCGAAAGCTATTTCTGTTTTCAGGTGCATGACAAGCCCTACCATGTGATCCATACTTTACAAGACGAGCCTGGTTGAAGCCTGGCGATCTAAGGTACTGACAGGAATCTCAGTTGCCATTGCCTCGCAGCTCACTGCTGCCAGCCTAGAGTATTCGCGCCGCAGCTCGGAGGTTTTGTCCGTTCCGTCGAATTGTGCCCCATTAGCCTCAGATGGGCAGCATGTGAGGATGAGCGCGATGAGTGCGTTTTGGATGGTCTTGCCCTATGCCATGGTTGGTATAGGTGAAGCATTGGTGAATCCGGTGCTTTGGCATGTGGCCTACACCGCCGATCCATCCATGAAGTCTTTGATGCAAGCTTTCTGCCAGTTTGCCATGGGAGGTCTGCCGAATGCGATTTCGGCAGCATTGACACAAGCAACCAAGAGTTGGACACCGAACAACCTGAACAACGGCAACCTGCCGATGGTATATTTTGTCAACGCCGCATTTTGCCTCGCAGGCTGCGCCGTTTATGTTTTCGTGACCCGCAGCTCTGATTCCAAGGAGGGCAAGGAGTGGTGTGCAGCAGAAGACTCCACCAGCGAAGCTGGAGAGTACAGCGACACTTCCGACAGCCTCAACGAGGGTTGAGGGTGGTTCATGCGTCGCCAGCCTTGCACATCCCCTCCCCTCTGGCAACCAACCCGAAACACCCTAAACAGTCTCCGGTTCTGGGTCGGAGCCTATAGAGACAAATAGAAGCACAGGAGGCGAGATAATCAAAACACAACGATGCCAGTTACTGCAGACTAATAGATGTATATGATGCTATTCCAATACGTCTGCGAGAAGCAGGGTGGAAGATTAGTTACATAGGGGAACGGGGGTGTGCAACTCGAGGGGTGTTCCTTCATATGGGAGCTTCGCCGAACTGGGCGTCTCCTCTGCAATGCCCGCGTGACAAGAAGGCGACTGTTGCTTTCCCCAAAAGAATTTGGTAATGGACATCGGAGAGACATTGGCAGCTGAAGGGCTTGCCACAGTCAGGATGTACAGCCGAGAAGTGACAGTGCCGCTATGCAGCGAGCACATGTACAGAAATTAGCCGTCAGGCACCTTTCAGAGTTCGATCTGGCTACGGGCATTCAAGTACTTAAAATGTACCGTTTTTCGTCTCCTGAGCCATAAGCTCAAACTCAACAACCCATGGCACAAACTCATAAGCCTGGCTTAACCTGGCATTTTAGACCCTCCGCAATCGAAAGGATTTTCAGCATGCCGCGAAAGGCATACATAAAGGTTTTTTAAGCAAAACAACCTAAACCCGAACATCCCTGCAACCCTGCAGCAACCCCAAAATCCTGAACCCTGCCCTGTTTGCCTTGAGCGAGTGTGCGAGTCGAAACCCAGACAGTCAAGGGTGCCTTCTCAAGAGGCAGGGCAGAAAACCACGAGGTCTCCAGATCCCTCAATATTAGCTCATGGTACGCTATAATATCAACAAAATTCTCGTAGTTATGCTATGATATAATCAAAATTCCCGAACTTATGCTATAATATAATCAAAATTCCCGTGGTTATGCTATACTACAATGACAATTCCCGTGGGTTTGCTATAACAAAATCAAATTCCCATAGTTATGCTATAATATAATCAAATACCCGTAACTATGCTATAATATAATGAAAATTACCGTGGGTATGCTATAGTAAATTCAAAATGCCCGTCGTCATGCTATAATATAATGTTATCATATAATCAAAACCCCTTCAGTTCTGAAGCCTTGCAGCTCTTTCGCAGCTCTGCCGAATGCAAGGCCGAAGCAAGACCCGTCCGGGGCAACTGAGGCTTCCCCAATAGGCAAAAAGCCCGATTTGCGAACCCTGATCCCTAAACCCCCAAACCCTAAATAAACCCAGAATAAACCCTAAACCCTAAACACATCCGTATTCGTTTGGTTCCGGATACTACAGGGTTTCTGGAGCGAAGGCCCCCTGTGGAAAAGTGGTTGTTGGGAAGCCTCGCCTGGGCCAGCGCTTGCACAAGAATACAATATCCAGAGGGCCTCACTCACTCTCTCTCTCTCTCTCTCTATATATATATACACATACATACATACATACATATATATATATACACTATATATCTATATATATATATAGGTATATTACCATTATGGAATTGGGTCCCACAAGACTATCCTTATTCTGGTTTGGGGGACTTCGTTACACAATAGTAGTACATGGACCCTCTAGCATACCGCCCGGAGAGCAAATTAATCAACACGTGCTCGGCCACCCAGTTAGGATTCCTTGGGACAAAGGCTGTTGCAATAAGTTCCTTGCACTTGGCTCAGGACACGCCAGTGGTATACGGACGGAATGAAGCAGCTACGTGAGGGCCACAGACTTCTGATAGAAGCCTGGCGCGCAGAACGGTTGACTGCCGAGACAGTTGGAGTCTCCAGTCTGCCCATGCAGTGCATTACAGTGCTTGTCGTCGTCGTGGCTGCTGTGTCTCTCCCAATGAAATCCCGAGCCACTGAGCGCTTGTCGCCAGTCCAGACTGGAGGTGCAGACACGGCAGTGCTCGAGGCGCTGGGGAAACTTTGCAGGCTTTTGTTTGTCGGACGCGGCCCGCTATTTCTTCAGGGGCCTAAATAATTACCAATACTATCTTGGGGGCTCCTTATTATAATTATGGTATAATATACCACACAACCCTATTCCAATTATCAAGGCCACTATATTATTCAGGTTTCGCTTGCGGTCATCCTGTGGTCAAAAGTGGCTTCATCTTGCTTCGCTGTTTCGCGCATGCAGACGCGCTCTAGGAGTCGCATCGGCATCTAGAGAGTCCAGACAAGCGAAATTCATAACGCAAGCAAATCCGGGATGCTTCTGATGATTCTGCTTAAACCCTAAACCCTCGCAACCAAACACGTATCTAGGTTTCACCTCAACCGACTCAGCACCAATAGCCCCGCCTGCCTTGTCCGATTGTGTCCGCCGAAACCCCCAAACCGCAAAACCCCCAAAAACGATTACATCTGCTGATTCTCCCTCAACCCCTAACAACTCCAAACCCCCAACCCGGTATCGACACGCGCAGCTCCCGAACCCCAAACTGCTCAGCAGCATGCAGGGCATAACCTAGAGGAGCCGTGGTGGTTTTGGTAAACAAGGTACATACTGTATGTACCGCAGCTGCAATTGCCGCTGTCCCCACTTGAGGTATACGTACGTCCGCGCCACCACGAGGGTCTAGTCGTCTCGGCAACTTAGGATTAGCCCTCGGTGCAGAGCTTACGGTGTACATTTCAGAGTCAAATGTCCAAGCAGATCGTGACGAGGATAGCGGCACCCAGCAAGTCCAAGAAACTCCCGCAGGAGATGCTCCGTGAGCGCTTGCCTGCCGTGCACGGCGTCCTTGTTCAGCATAGGCGCGCTTGCTTCTCCGCAAAGCAATGTGTAAGCCAGGTTGTTTCAACAGGCCAAGACTATGATGATCGTTTTCCGGCCAGGAATAAACCGTGCTAACTTGTGAGGATGTTGCTTGTGCAGATCGGGTTTGGTTCTTCGTGTGTGTCCTCGTTCTCTGTACTCAACCGGTCAACCCAAACCCTAAACCCTAAACCTTGTGTGGAGCCTTGCCTGCCTGGTGCGAGTGTGAGAGTCGAAACCCTAAACCTTAAACCGTGCAGAAAGGAGCCTGGGCATTGTCGAAGCTCTAGTTGCACTGCAGGGCAAGTCTCGCCTGCCTCGGTCCGACCTACGGTTGATGATATAAATCCTGCATGACCCATGCAAGGAATATACCATAATTCCCATAGTTTAGGGTCCTTAAGGTCATGCAGGATGTATATCATCAACAGTGTCATCACAAATCCATGTGAGAGTAACATAGAAGCCTAAATCATGTCCGGTGCTACGCAAACTGGGGGCTCCGCCTTAAAACTCTATGCACCTGGGCCTGGCGCTGCAACGGCAGAGAGAGAAAGAGAGATGCACCAAAAGTCCTATTGTAAAGGCGCCTGCACCACGTTTTGCTCATGCCACTCAGTTTAACCGGTCCGGAATGCCTTGTCAAAGCCGGTGCCAGAAGTCATGCAAGGTTCGATTTCCTCTTCGTCACCTCCAAATGGCGTCTTCGTCGCAACTGATTGGTTTCTGGCGCTTATAGCCTGGTTTTGGACCATGGAAAAAATAACAGTTCACCACATACTGTATACAAATACAGTCAAAATCCGCATATTCACATACATGCGGGTATGCGGACCTTACACGTGAGATATATCCACGGATGATCATAGACGTTTATGCAGGTACACATACCAGCATGGCATTTCTACCCCAATCACGAAAAAGGACTGCTAAATGATGAAGAAGTTTTCCTTAGTCGTTCTTAGGGGATCCGATGTTCGAGTTTCTGGCTGATGCAGCCCTAGCCTCAATAATTTGTTGCAAATTGCAGACAGGTGTGATTATTGTTCTTATTATCGCTCTTTCTTGTCGTTATACTATATTGTTATTAAGATATTGTTCTAAGTAGTACTCTTTCTAATGATTATTCGTAGTGGTACCTTTATGAGCACCCTCAGCACAGGTTTTTGTGCCTGTTTGCAGCAACTCTCGCGGGCGAGGCGCCAGCGGCTTTGGCAATCTTGAGGGGAATGTGAGGGGGTCGTTTGAGGGCTATGTGTGTATTACATCGAGTCTGACTGCAGACCAGGCATTTCAATTCTACAAGTTCTTCTAACCTAGGAACGGCTAAGCCTTAAACCCTCGGCCTATCGTAGAATCGGATTAGCAAAAGCCTTAGTTAATTGACCCCTCAAACCTAGCATAGACTCGAATTCGGGCTCAACATTTCGGATAGCCTAGGACGTCAAAATGCTAAGGGCGCGGGTTTGAATGGCTTCGGCCAGGCACACACATTTTTGCGACGGAGATGTGTGTGAGTGTGTATATATATATATGTGTATATATATATATATGTAGATGTTATATTATATTATGTTATGTCGTATTATGTTATATTATGTTATATTATGTCATATTGTGTTATATATATATATTCTGTTATATATATATATACACATTAGACAGGTAAACATGTGCTTATGAAAATGTAGACGCAGACATGCCTACATACGTACATTCGTACACATATACATATGCAAATACATGGGTGGGTACGTACGTATGTCCATGCTTATGGACGCACAGGTGTGCACACGAGGTACATGCTTGTCCATCGCAGCGGCCGGCAGACTGGCCCCGACAATGCCGGACTAGATGCGATAAACCGTATTTAGGTCTTAGGGGTTAAGGGATTAGGGCCTGTAACAGTTGTGTTTCGTACGGTCATTGGAAGGACTCCGGTGCTGATCCTACACCGCGACCTGCAGGCACTCCATCGCGTGTGGGACGTCCTCCTCGGCGACGGGATTGAGGTAAGCCAGGGGGGTTTTGGGCTTCAGTTTAGGCGCTAATCCGAGTGATGGTACGAAATAGCAGCATGAATGGTAATTCAGCAGATATATAAATGAGAGCAAAAGCAACAGTGTTGCTTGAGGCAAAGCACGGTTAGACCAGAAGCACCTAGAAGCAATTTTCAAAACATAGCAGGCGGTTGCACATTGATAGCA